GGTTATCAGAGTCAACAATAATTAATATATAAGCAGAGGCAGCTAATTACGAGGCAGAAAGAAAATGATCAAGAAGAAGCTTTTTGAATAAATTTAAGGACTGAGCCCGTCTAATGTCAATTGGAAGAGAATTCCATAGCAGAATACTTTGCACAGTAAAGGAGGAGTGATAGAATTCAGTTTTATGAATAGGAGTTTCAAGAATAAGGTTGTCCAGAGAACGCAAGTCAAAACTACCGCCAGAGAGAAACATAAAAGAAGTTGTAGAATGTGCATCTTACGCCGCAATCGAATGGGTAGCCAATTAAGCTTTCTTCGGAACTCCGAAATATGGTCAAATTTACGAAGACCAAATATGAACCTAATGCAAACATTTTGTAAGCGCTCTAACTTATCAAGCTGCAACTCAGTTAAATCAGGATAACACATATCAGCGTAATCAAGAATAGAGAGTAAAAGAGAATGAGCAAGAGAAATTTTAGTTGAGATAGGCAAGAAATTGCGTAACCTATTAAGTGCGTGAGAAGAAGAAAAAATCCTCCTGCTAAGTTCATTAATTTGGGGCTGCCAAGACAGGGTTGTATCCAAAGTAATGCCCAGGTTCCTAACAGTGGAGCAAAACGGAACAACAGTACCATCTATAGTAAGCTGGGGTAAAGTTGACCAATTTATTCTCATTATATATGATGCACTCCCGATGATAATGGCCTGGCTCTTGTAAGGGTTTATCTTAAGACCATACGACTTACTCCATTGAACAACCTTGTCTAAGTCTAAGTTGTTATACACAATAAGAAATAAATATTGTTATTACACAATAAAATTATTTATTACTAAGGATTTTAATGAATAAAATACTTATTATTAATACGTCAATACCTATTGCTTTAATTTTAATTTGCTTAAAAGGTACACTGCCACAATTTTTAATTAGTTTTAATTAAAAAAGTGTGGCAAGTTTGAATTTTCTATTTATTAATTTTTAATTATTATTATTATTACTATGCAGGTTAAGAAAATTGTAAATGTAATAATAGAATCATAAATAATATATATTTTTTGTAATATATAGTACCGGTGACCCCAGAGCTGGTGCTTTTCTCGCTCAACGAATAAGTATCGCAAAACAGCGAGGAAATGCTGCCTGCGTTAAAAGTACACTGCCACTGGGACCAAACTTTTTAAATTTGATTTTAATATTTTTTATTATTACTTTGTAGGTAAAAAAATTAAATATAAATAATGTAATAATTACATGATTTGAAAACCATTGTGTTAAATAATATTTTGATTTGTTAATATGTTTATTTTTATTCTTTATTTTTTTTATTTATAATGTATTTCTTTTTATTTACACAAATACAGTATTTACAATGTTCTTAACCTATAAAGTAATAATAAAAATAATTAAAGAAGAAATAAGAAAATCAAAACAAATTTAAAAAGTTTGGTCCCTGTGGCAGTGTACCTTTAACGCTGGCAGCATTTCCTCGCTGTATTGCGAGACTTATTCTTTGAGCCAGGAAAGTGCCAGCTCTGTGGTCACCGGTACTATCTACCAGGCGCCAACTTAAATCTTTAATAAGCGCCTGTGCACTTGAACCCCACGGCCCAAGAGTCTCTACTCCAAAGGGAACAAAATTGAAGTTGGAGGAAAGACTCTTATATTTGTGCCGTTTGTTAATTTCTGCCTGTTCTGCGGCCGCGCCAGCTTTTTTGCTTGTCCGAAGGAGATGAGACGGGGCAAAGGTGTCTACACAGGTAGCATCCCATACTAAAGCCCGTCCCATTTTCCAAGGGATCAAAGACATTCCATCCGGCCGCTTGCCATCGTCTCTTGCGATGCCTGTTGGCTCCAAAATTGCTGGAACATTGACAGAGGCAAGAGAGCGGCGTATAATGTCGTTTAGCGCGGCATGGCGAGAAAAACAACCTGCACTCTTTTGGCAGTGTAGGCCATGGTGTCCAAGGCTACTTACTTCAAAACCACAGGGACACTTATGTAGAGTACATATGGGCACTCCTAAGCGGAGGCTGATGGCAATTCGAAGTGATTCAGGGTCTAAAAGGGTGCCAGTGTTTCGCGAAGGATAAGCATTAAGCCAATGTCCAGCTTCCCTAGACCCCACAGCCATCAACCTTGCACGGTCTGTTATTGGAATGTGACCTAATAACTTTTTGAATTCACATTTGCAAAGAGGATCATCCCAGCTCCTTTGAAAGTTGACGCTAGAAGGCAAACTCAAGCCTGGGTTGGATGCTATCCACGCGTTTCTTGCATCTGTTAAATCCGCAATCTCGTAGTTTGTAGAATAATATCTAAGGATTTTACCTACCAGACTGCTAGATTTGTGAGCAGATGAGAGAAACGCTGGAAGAGCTACACTTGTTATCTTGCGTACTCCTAATCCGCCAAAGCGAACAGGAAGCGATGCTTGATTCCAAGAAGGTGTATCAAAACGAACATTTAAAATAGATTCCAAAGAAGTTTTTAAAAGATTATCCAAATCATTATTATTACATTATTTTTAATTACTATGTAGAAGATGTAGAATTTTGTAGGTACTCTTTATTTGCGTGTAATCAACCGTTACTTTTTACTTATAAAACATCGTAACGACTATTTGCTGCAATATGATAATAAATTTTTTGAGATAATAAAAATTCTAAATGCACACTAAATATTTTACATACATATTATATTTTCGCTAAACATTTTGTAAATAGAATGGCTCATAAAGCGTTCAGAATATTTGCGATCCGAATTGAAGACTTTGGTCGCGTTATATCTTTATTAGCTTTCCACGCCGAGTTCAATATAAGCAAATTGCTTAGCAATAAAATATACTTTTATGGATATCGGTTTCCATATAAGTATAGAAATATTCATGTCTGTTGATTGGCGTTGAATTGAGTTGAGCTGATTTAAGAAAAAATACTAAATTTTTCTGAAGTTTACTCCTTATTCATAAAAAACTAGGTCTTGTGTTTATTCGTTCATCTGTTTCGACTATTTCTTTTTAAATTTAATTGATGCTGTGGTTAAGAGAAAAGATTCACAAAGTGCTTTATTATCTATTCATAAGTCGAAGCGTGTCAATTGTTTTAAGAAATGAAAATTATTTTGTTTAAGTTTTATCTTTACTTCTTATACACAGACAAGCAAAAAAGATACATATGTACTACGCTGTTCATAACAACAAATCACAAATAATGACAATTATTCATGCGTGCCATTAAGTATTTATTGTGTCAAAGAGATGAATATCTCGTACACCTGGTTGCTAGGTATATAATCTAGGTCTGAAACCTAACTAATCATATGTAATTGACAAGAAACAACCTTATGTTTGAATCAGTTTTATTGAATTGTAAGATATTAAATTATTAATGTACTGCGTTGGCTATTAGGGTTGTTGCTATAAATTTATTACAACAGGATTTTTCTTGACAAATTTTTCCAAATACCAATAAACCAGTCAATCCAATGCAGTTTACAAGTTGTATAGTAAGTAGGGGAAGATCGTTACCCTTCGTACGCGGGGCACATTCATACAGTCAAAATAAAACTTGAACGAAACAAAGTACAGTCTTGTTTTTGTATGTGTGCATGAGTCGAGGTACGAACTATACATCAACGAAGTTTGGTGAAATTCGCACCGATGAGAGTGAAGCTTCAGGCATGGACGTGTTTTCGCGCTCGGTAAGTAATTTTTGATCAATGTTTTTTGCTCTTGTTACCGTAGATAAAATAAGTTTTCGTGTAGAGTATTCTATCAGTAACTAGCAAAATATACTTAAGATACGTCTCCAATACTTAATTTATGACGTTTTCCTTTTAATATTAAAATAAGTTATATTTTGTTGTTATTTTAGTTAGTGGGGTACTTTCGGACAGCACTAGATGGGGCACATTTGAACGAATTGTACAACTAAATTTGTATGAAAATATTTTGTCGACACGAACTGTCATTTTCATACAAATTAAGTTTTCGACTTGCTACATACAAATAATAATAAGGCATCTTGACTAAACCCTCTGGTAGGTAGGAAAGATTGTATTAGTGTGCTAATTGCTAATATTTGCATTCACTTTGTCCTGTGTTGCTATCATTGCTATCGTCTATGTAAATATATATTAATACCTATTTTTATTATCTTTATTAAGGTTGATTTTGATGCCTGTGAACCAGATGCTTTGAATAATTTACCAATCCATCAAATAATCCTTCGAAGTCAGTTTTGACACCAGATGCGTTTCGACCCTATCCGCATGTTGTAAGAAGTAATAAAACAAAAAAATTACGACGACGGCCAGGAAAACCACGAATTTATACTGCCACACCCGAAAATAAGAAGTGCTAATCCGCACCAAAGATTAAAAAATGTGATTCTAAATTTAAGATACCTAACTAATTAATGCTAAAAGCTATGTAATTTTTGTTCACTATAAGAAAAGTATTTTATTTTTGTTTAATAGAAGTTAAATCTTTATTTTTGTGTTTAATTTCATTGCTAATAAATGAATTTTGATTTATACGTGTCGTTTTAATCGCACGTACGGAACTACCCCACAGCGTACGAAGGTACCTCCAACACTGTACGAAGGTGCCCCGTGAATGGGGCAGATTCGTACGTTTCCCAGATTTAGTTTAAATCATAATTATGGTTGAACCATAAGATGAAATCATTTGTCATTTTTTTATATGAATCTCAGATAGTAGGACTATAAATTTAAGCTTGCAGATGATTGATTAATGGAAAAAGAAAAAAAATTAAAAATAAAATGTGAAAACCGTACGAAGGGTCCCGACCTTCCCCTACATACAACATTTGTATACTACATTACAACTGTATAAAGTTAAAAACTGTATCTACTGGTGATGGCGTGTCTTCATGGAAAGACGATTATTAGATAATTTTACGGTAAAAAAATATTTAAAAAAAGCTAAAAATGCAAGAACTTTTATTCCAGGGTAAAGGTCCTCCTCCAAACAAGTTTACATCTCTTCTTGAGGCATGTACTTTTGCGTCTGTTCCTTGTACAACTGTTCCTTCTGTTCAGGTTTCGGGCCTCTAGGGCTTTTCCATACTTTGATGTATTTTCTATATGGAAAACTCCATTGTAGTCAGGGTTCAAACTCTCTGCCGCAGGTTATTATGAGCCACTAGATTAATTCAGATCTAGCCAATAGGCGAACAGTACTACAGTAAATCTACTAATGTTCAAGCAATCCAGAGAAATAAAACGAAACAAATTTTCATTAATTAAAAATACTTATTGCGTACTAAAATCAAACGTAACTTAAAACAATTTATCAACAAGTTAATTATTTAAACTCTATACGTTATGCACAAAATCACATTAATTTATTTGACATTTACGCATTACACAACCCAACTTATGTAAGATCGCGAACTTTGAAATACAAGACGATAATCTCTTTGCTGATACGATCTCTTTTGAAAGCTCGTTTATCTGAGCTTAATACAATATTTATAGTATTATAATTATAACGGTTCGAAAATGTAATGTTGAAATTTATTTTTAACTGTTGTTATAAAGTATATTACGCGATTATTGAAGTAATACAAAATTACTAAAATAAGTGTTGAATAATTATATTTTTTTATTTATATGATTTCTCCCCATAGGTCTTATCGTGTTAACTACTTAATAATTTATTAAAATAATGTAATGTATACCATAAAGTATTAAGCTAAGTCCGAAGCTTGATATAGTCAAAAAAAAACTATTTGTTTAGATTATTACCTTTTGGAAATAAAACATGCATTTGTCGTTTTTAAGTTCGTTCGTATGTTCAAAAGAAAAATAATTTTCTTGGAATAAAATGTCTATCTATTTGGATTAACCGTTTTGTATATTTTACAGTAGCTTGGTGATATATTGATTATTGTAAAGTTGAAATAGCGAAATTTTAATCTGGTTAATTTTAAGCAGGTAAATTTCTCAAAGCAGGTTCGGAATTTTATATCACGCATGGCTTACTTGATGAGAAGTAGCGACCCTCAGGAATTACGGATTGTTACACTACCTAATTGACGACTCGTTGTAGACAGCTTTTTATTTTGCTAAAAATAAGAAAATTTATAAATAAGAGCTTCGAATGATATCTTATTACGTAGATATCATCACCAATTCACATTTTGCTTCTCCAGGTCTCTAATTTGCCTACAAAAAATATTATAAAAATACCGCCATGATTCATACTATGTTAATACTAATGCTTGAAATATTCTATTTTTTAAAAATACATATTATTTCTATCCTTAAAAATTATCACATTTAACAAACTTGAATATTAACGTTGTGCATTTTTGATATTTTGCTTTAATTATCAGTATAAAAGTAGGTACTATCTATCATTTATGTGGTAGAATACAATATTTATTCAAACATGACAATTTATATTACATTAAATACGCCGCGCCAGCTGTCTACTCTCCATCCGTCTTACGAAACCTACACAAAATAATTAAAATTAGTATTAAATAATTAAATTAGGAAAATTCACTATTTTTTAAGTTGCCATATTTTATTCGCGTCAATCTGACCAAATCGTTAATAATAAAGCTTTAGACGTTTCGCAAAATTAAACCTTGATTTATTGACTTAAGGTCCAATTCCACATGCATCAATGTATCTGAGGAAAGAGACAAATGAATTAAAACCGTATCTGTATAGCACGAAGGTTCATAGTTCTTTAAAAAAAACATCTGTCTTACGAATTTGTCCTGATGCGAGTTAAACATTTTTTACCCATTCCAAAAAAAGTGTACAACGCCGCTAAAGCAGTTTAACTTAAAAAAAAAATTTGTTTGTTTCGGAAAACAAGGTTCCATAACTATGTTAGTAATTACAACTTAATAACTTAAATCTAAGGGTTAGTAGTTTTACATATTAGAACACACAAAAATACCTAATATTAATACCGCTTCAATCATTCATACCCGAATCATTCCGCATGAAATGGCGGAACAGTGATTGAGGTATGGGCAATCGACTCGGTCCGCGATCATGCGGAGGATGCTGTTACCGCTAGCTCGCACCCTGCGCACCAAGGATGCACATCTCTCACTCATTATTAATTAGAGAGGATCATTATATTAACTGGGAGGTCACAAGTAGTGTCTTCGAACCAATTCGACTTAGGGTCCTTCAAGAAAAGAGCGTACCAATTCTTGAAAGAACGGCAACGCACTTGCAACCCTTCTGGCAATGTGAATGGCCATCGGCGGCGGTATTACTTAACATCAGGCGAGCCTCCTGCCCGTTTGCCTCCTATTTCATTAAAAAAAGCTCCTGAAATACAGCTCTTACTACATCAAAAGCCTGGAACACATCCTTTTTTCTATTTTGCTATAAAATATTCTTATTATTTTCGTTGTAATATTAATCATTATTGCGATGATATGATTTGTTGCCTGATTTTAAGTCTAAACCTACTTAGCTGTATTAGAAATAAAGTTATGTGATCATGTCAAGTTATAGATAAGCCAAGCAATGAAGCATATCGAAGTGAACTTGACAAACGAATGTAAACGATCACGGATGTAACTCATTTATCTCCCGTCCGTATTTCTCTGTATTCCTTTTCTGGCAGATAAATCTAATATAGACCAGATAGTAAGCGTCAATTTATAAATATCTTTACACGATAAATTCATCTATAGTTTTTGCAAGATTCGAGGTACTCCGACGACAATGGAAGATAAAGAGTTTTTAATTGTATATATGATTATAGATATAGATTATTTATTATTCGTTAAAAACTTTAAAAACGCTTTTTTTTTTTTAAAGAAACATCTCGCTGTCAGCGTATCCAGATTTATAACCACTATGGAATGTTGAACAAGAACAGAGGTTCCGAAAGCTTGCTGCAAATCCAAAGTGTAGTTTTTTTTTTTATCACACATGTGTCGTAGGTACTAATACATTATGGAACATTACAATCTAGCCTAACATAATATTAATAAGTAATTTAAGTCTAACCTAGTTTACTAATAAGGATTTTAACATAAGAAAATATCCAATAACACTACTTACAGTCTCTATTAAAGGGAAGAGACTCTGTTCTTGTGTTCAATTTTTTTTTTTCACTTACTCACGTGCACTATCACTAATTCCCTAGGTTTTGTCCTTTTCAGTCTTCTTACTAGGCCCGTGGTGTCAAGGAGTTGAAATTTGAATAGCCTCGACATTCACGTGATGGTGGAGCCTATGTTCGTGGGTTCCAGCAATCTTCTTTATGATTGTGGCAACGCGTATGATGTGACAAAATCATACTCCATAGATTTTGCAAATGTTTTAAAACGATATAGTGGTCAGAGTGATGACACGTGCTCAAAACAAAATGTTCAATATTGAAGCGAACTTATTAACTTTAGTATTACTATAGTTATAAGGCACCCATTACTAATATTAACTACAATGTTAGAAGATTGTATCAGCGTAATTCAATAAAATAAATTGGTTGAGTTACAAAATCGGTCGGCACTCGGCTGCGGCCAGCCGGCTCAATGCAATTGAGGCTAATAAAAATGCAATTCTCGTAATACGTCTCGAGTATTTACAACCCTTTAATACTGGTGCATTCAATCCTATTTGTGATCGTTGTCTTGATCGCGGAAGAGACGGCACTTGGACGCTTCGTCACGACTGCGGGTTTTAAATTAGGTAATTTCCAGAGAAGCTTAGCAGGTTGTCCTGTTTTAATGCGACTTATGAGTTCCATGTTCATAACGATAAGCTTTCTATCTTGATAATAAAACAATTTTTTACCGGATTTAAGTTATGTATTTACAATTATTTTTAATAATTTTAAACGGTGACACCGTGACCACGCAAGCTGTAAAGCACGCGAAACGTCGGTTAAATTTAAAATTATGAAAAATAATTGTAAATACATAACTTAAATCCGGTAAAAAATTGTTTTATGATCAAATGTGTGAAAGTTATGTCAATAAAAGACAATACTTTCTATCTTGATTAATTTACGGATAATTAACAAAACAACTACCAGTTGATTGAAACTAGACTTCTAAGTATAAATATTAGTTTAATTTGGCCCATTTATATGTGGGACACTAGACAAGGGTTATATAGTCTACCTACAGCAGTTACAACAGAATGTAATAACCGTTTAATATGATAATTTCTTAACAAATAAATACCAATACCTGACAAATACTAGCACCCGTTCGATTTTGTACTAGAATTATGTTGCTGTCATGTTATACCAAATTCTGAATTTATTACTGTGTTGGATTAAACTAATATAGATTAAGAAGAAATCTTATCGCAATCTACTTATACAATTTATATATTTTGTGGTAAAATGAAATCTCACGTTATCAATTTTATCAATAAACGCTTTAATTTAAAAGGTATATGATTGTTTAATGTCAAACTGTGCAAGTTAAAAATCTATCTAAAATATGCTAATAATGTGCATGGGTGTTGGCAAAATCTTCTTAATTAACTCTTAATTATATTTTGATTTTTTGTTGTGTTTACAGCTGTTTCTTAAATTCTAAAAGAAATTCTAAAAGAAGATTGATTGTGATTAGTCAAGACCAAAGATGGTGTGAATCAAAGTCAAAAGAATCGCACTATCGTTTCGGAATATATGCTCCCGGTAAGGTTGTAAATATAAATACAACTATAAACCAGATAAGTTCCGCGTAAAATAGCAAACAAAAGCTAGGTATATAGATGGCTTGAAGTGTATACAAGTATCAAGTTCAGTAAACAGGTACAATTTAATAACCATAAATACTTATTGCATATTACCATGTTTTCTACTAATGAATATTTATTAAGGAATCTCGTTATTAATATATATGTAATAGGAAATTACAGTTTCAATTACAACTATAATTGTATAATTGTATATAATTCAAGGTCAGAAACATTTTGATTACGTATATAGAAAGACAAGAGAAATGAAAAATATAACTAAAGACTAGCATTTGCCGACATTTGTTAGTGCATAAAAGGTTCCTGCTTCGATATAAACATTATAACGGAGCAAAATATGTATGTATATACTAATATAAAACTTAAAATCGGTTCAGATATACCTGGGAAAAAACTTTCTTAAAGAAACTTTAATTTGTAAGCAAATGTGTAATATTATTTGGCTTAATCTTGGTATGCTTTATCACCATTTAAAATTTTAATTAAGGTAAAACAATAGAAATTGTATCCAGTTTAAAAACGCAGGAATGTTTCTAGGTTTTTTTAAATTGATAAAAAACCTGGCAGGATCGCCATTTTATTATAAATTTAGGTAGCAATAACTAAATTAGTTAATTAACAGATATATACCACATACTTCAAATGATATATTAAAACTAATTGCATTTGCATCTTTTAAATATAAAGAATTAGATAATATTCTGTATTCAACATCATTAATAATAAATAACAATATTTTATTGTCTTCCTACTTGTCTGTTGAGTCACGCATTTAATTCTATCGTAAATTTATTTATTTATGTACATTTAAAAAGATCAGTGGTGCTACAACTTTTTTAGGTCTGGGCCTCAGATTTCTGTATCAGTTTCATGATAATTGGTCAATTGGGTGCCTGACACACGCCGTCGACTTTTTGGGTCTAAGCCGATTTTCTCCCTATGTTTTCCCTCACTGTTCGAGCGAATGTTAAATACGCATAAATACGACCTCAGAGTCGCTGAAGCCAACACTGTTCCTTATAATGTACATTAGTGTAGAATAAAAAAAAAATTTATTTGTTTTACACTAGATCGTTAGTCCATTTTCTAGCGAAATGTAATGAAATAAATAATATAATTAATTTTTTATTACTTATTATTTCGTCTTGTTGTTAGAACCAAATAAATTAATTAATCTCAACCGATAGGATAAGTCAAATGTTATTAATTTAAAATACCTCACAACTTACCTATAAGCATAAGTCCTCCTTCTCCAGCGTTTTCGGCGGGCGCTATCCAAAGACGACCAGTCACCGTCGGACCTCGACGGAGTGGTGTTTCGCGCCTCCGACATTTTGGCACTCTCCAAAAGAATCGCTGTGTACTTCGTTATTAACATTTGCACTTCACTCATTGTAACACTTGTGTCTTCACTGTTCACGGTATTCCTTTTTTAAAAGTTCAGAAATAATGTTTATGTTTTGACCTATCCGGTAACACTATTCCATTTTCGAATTTATGGTAATATTTGTGTGTGCCAATGCCAATTGAATTATTTATCTATAACCGTTAATTTATTTTTAGCATAGTCATTTTACTATGGTTCAATTAAAGGAAACGTTTGTTCGTGGGTTAGTAAGTGAGTTGACTGACGGTCGTCATGCGACGATGGGCACTGACCATCATTTTACCCTCCTAACAACGGGATACTGTGAATTATGTTACTCCCACGCAACTTGCCATATCAAAAAATATTAAGTTAATATAACTTAATATTTCTTGACCATAGATCATTTATTGAGGAAAAAGGAATCTAAAGTTTGTCAATGGTCGTTATTTTCATATAACGTTTTAATGTAAAAAAAATACGTGTTTTATATAGCCTTTTTATAAACTGAGTGTAGATTCTAAATTTTGCCAGACCAAAAATATATATAAAATTATTTATTAAGAAAAAAATTTGCATATTGCAACATTCTCTAAGATGCGTTTCATCACTTCATCAATAATCGTTTGATTTTACACAACGTAATCAGCAGTTGCAGAGTCCTAACGACTATAATTCATACAAGTGTTACCCCATAAATTATAGACCTTTCAGATATATTTAACAATAAAAACATTATGAACAAAAAATATGCATTTATTCTCGTTATTCTTTCATAACTTGCAAAATTATTTGAGAAGTAATCCAGAAGTTAAGGAAGGACAGTCGCCGACTACTAGTCACACAGGAAGTAAAGAATTGAGTTGTTTTGAGTATTACCTAAATAATTTCCTCTATATCTAAAATAGTGCCAAGACGCCCAATCTAAAAAAGCTCAAACGGTAGTCGGCCTCAGATTTTCTTATTTGTGGCGATTTGTGCCCGACACACCCCGTCGCGCGTCGGTTGGATTTCTCCACACTATGAGCATGTGTTAAATGTTAATAGCGCACAAAAATCCAAGGTCAAGGCCCGCCACTAATGCTGCGGAATTATAAATATATATTTAATTAACTATGATAAATCATAAATAATCGCAAGAGGGTCATGGCTATGTCATATAAAACATTATGCAATTTTTAGTAGTACTACTATAGCAATAATACTTTGTAAAAGGACAATTTACACAAAACAGTGGGGTCATTAACCCCGGCGCAATTCTGCAAATAAAACAGTGTAGAAATAGCCCAGCTACGAGTAGCTCAAGGGTACCATTAGCTTTATTACAATTTTGCCATTAACTTTCGAATACTTTAATAATGTAAGTAATGTTTTTAAAGTAGACTTAGAGCACGTTTAAGTTTCGTAACCAATGGTGCATAGGATATATTGTGATCAGCCTATTGTTTGATAATTTTTATAAGTAGGTAGGTCAAGAACTATCATTGTTTTGCCGGGCATCGATCCAAGTACCTACCTACGTCCTGGTTACCACTAAGCAAAAATTCAGTAATTTTTTTACAATGATCAATTTGCTATCTCAAAGATTATTATTAGTGTTTCACAAGCGGTATTATAGAATATCCAAAATTATTTTTCAATTTAATTTCCATAACAGATACATTTTCCGTCGTAATAAAATTATTTCAACAATCTTGTTGCAATTACAATTTATAATCTGTTATCTCATATCTTGATTTATAACCAATCACTGAAGTTAATGTTTCTCATAAAATAACCATTTCCTGTCCAACATACAGAATTTATGTCATAAAAAAATTTACTTGACAAAAAGTGCTTCCTTTCTTGATAAATTATATCGTCGTACAAGTAGCGGCACGAAACTCTAGCGCTGACCGTTATTGCGCAGAAGTAAAAAATAAGGTACCTGAGGGGGGCTAGCGGAATGAAGAGCGTCGATTGGCTTCCGTCCCCCGCGCGACAGTACACATGCGCAGTAATCCCCTCCACGTATCGGCCAGCGCTAGACTTACGTGCCGCTGCCTATACCTTTAAACAAGCTGATGCTAGTCAAACTTGATGGGTGAGAATCTAAAACAAAATACGAAACGATTCGAATAATTGTGATTGGTTGAATCTGTAGTCCAATGATCTAACTATCCGTGGTTTGATCAATCACAATCAAACGAAACGGGCCATCGTTTCGTTTTAGACTTTCAAAGTGCACTGCTTTGTATAATTTTTTATAATAAACAACAAAATGTGTATTATTCCAAAAAGTTAAACTAACAAAAGTAGTACCAAGCTGTCATTTTATTATATGTAACAAGTTTTTACAGAGACACGGAACTATGTCATTCACAAAGACAAAGACCAAAAACGAAAGAAATAAGAAAATATCATTTAGTAGAATAAATACGTAGGAAATAAATAAAGAGTTTTTTTCTTTGCTTACTCGTAATTTGATTCGAAATAATCTGCGAAGAACATTTCATACTCAACACTTTAGTCTTACTATGAAATATGTTAGACTAACTGACTTCGTCTGCGCAGGATTAGTATTTCGAGTAGAAAACAGTACCGAAAATATTGACTACCTAATATAAACATATTCATCATACATTACATATGCGTAACTCTAGCGGTTTTGGCAGCGCACGCCAGAATAGCTCGAAGATGGTAGATTTTTTTCTTCTTACTTGATATTTTGGACAATTCACACAATTTCTTACTAAATTGTAGCCTTTGTGTTATTCTGATGTGTAAGCTTTATTATTGTAAAGTTTAATTACAATCCATTGAGTTTTTATGTGGAAGAGTAACAAACATCTATCCATACTTACAAACTTTCGTGTTTATAATATTAGTAGGATATTGTTTACGGAAACTGGTATAAGAAGGGTCATGTGAAGTAGGTTCTATGGGTCTTAATAGAGACCTGCGATCTTTATCAAAAAGACCTTTGCTTCTGCGTCTGCACATCGTTAGCCTTTATTGCGTTAAATTTCCATTTCGCTAAAGAAAGCATTTCAAAGAAAACATGCAAGAAATTTCCATCCTATTAAGTCATGAGATAGATGCCTCTATTATTCAACTAACGTTTTATATTTTTTTCTAAAATGTTTCTGTTTCTGTTTTGAAGTTATACTTCTTTTGGCGCGTTAGGAAAAAATGATGAGAGTAAATTTTGAAACAAATTTGTAAACACAAAAAACCAACACCATGAAGTTAGCATATTCAACATTTTAAAATAAGAAATGTCCATTTCTTAAATTTTGTAGACATTTTTTTTGTGATATCTAAATAAACATAATTTAACTAGATAGTGCGCTATAATAAAATTTTCAATATATTAAATACCTTTTTTCTATTGATAGTGTAGTTTTTCTACAAACGTAGAATATGGCGAAAGATAAACATTTTAAAAAGATTTTTATCTTATTACGCCAAAGAAGTATAACACACACGTTTTTCTATTTTATTATTTGTTATTTTCCGAATAAGCATCGCAATACAGCGAGGAAATGGTGCCAGCGTTAAAGATACACACTCACAGGGACCTTTTTAAATATGCTTTAAGTTTCTATTTATCAATTTTTAAATAATATTATGATTCCTTCATCTAAGATGACAAACTACGAACATATCAATAGCTACTACACAACCAAGGTGGTAATATTAAAACTAGATAAATATATTATAAAAACCAAGTTCGAGGTCACTGGAATGGAGATTAAGCCTTATATGGCAAAACAAGTAGGTTTATGGTATGGTTATAGTCATCGCAAATGCACATATTCTGTGCCAAAGGTCAAAAAACAGTGTTCTACATAATGTATTCAATGTCGTGACTAATTTTAAAGATTATCTTTGTAGCGGAACAAATTCTACTCCAATTTTTTAATACGCTAGCTGCAATGACTGTCTTTTCGCGAAGTAATGGAACTTCATGAATTAATGTTTAAATAAATTACGCAATAGATTAAGTTTAAGAAACATTTGGATAGTCGACAAAGTTCTGTTTGTGTGCCAGTGAAATAAAAAGATCTTTTTGACATTAAAATACTTACTACTTTTTAGAAGATAAAACGGGCTAATAAGTTTTAACAGGGGTTGACATAAATCGTGGTTTGCTATATAAAAAGAAACCCTCTCGAAACAATACGTCAATATATTTTAAACAAGATTTTGAAACGAAATTGTATTGATATTGAATTTCGGTAACGATTGAACTCAAAAACTTTTACCGATCTCGAAACTTCTTTCACCGTTAGAATGCTACAATATCCCTGAGTAACATTGGCTTTTCTTACTTTATGTTCATTTAACTAATAATTTCCATAATATTCAAAAATTGTCTAGCCGTGTAAAACCAAATCCGTTCAGACATAATTGTTGTGAAATTATGTCTATATGATTGTTTCTTCAAAATAACATGCGAAGCTTATCATAGAACTGCTCTTCCATATTCAGTACAGCGGAAAGTTTTGGATTTGTCCCATAAAATATATACGTTATGGAAGTTGTGGATGGTAAAAGCGAAACTGCACATCAATATCGCACATTATATTAAGAAATCTACACGGCCCATTGGCTGTAGACATAACATTCCATTCTGCGAATGTAGGTAATTCCATACGATCAATACGCATGATAAACGCTGACGCATAATTACCGGCGCGAGCGCATCGGACTGCTAAGTATTATTTCACTTTATATCAGATGTATACAATAATTAGTGAATGATTTTTTTATAAAATCACTTTATATATAAAAGGTAAGGCGATATATACGGAAGCATTAAAGGACATAGCTGGTAACCTCCTCTTTATCTATTACGAATGAAGACATATTTCGGATGTAATGTTACTAATATTTATGATACATTCCTGTTTACACAAGCTACCTTACTGATAAGAGTGATAAAAAGAACCTTGAGTGATAATTGTGAACGCAGGTAATTTTATGTTCTAGCCGTATGAGGATATTTTTGATAGTTCACTTGTTTCCGA